CTCCCTCCCTCCCTCCCTCCCTCCCTCCCTCCCTATTGGAGTACTTGGAATCCAAATTCAGCCCCACATACTTGTAGGGAAGACACTTTACCAACTAGACCATCTTTTAGGCCTATGAGCATTATAAACTTTTGAACTCTAAAAGTTTTAAAACCTGATCTAATTTGAATTTTTAGATCCAAAGCATGAGGTAGGCTGTTTTGTTCTTTATTTCACTTTATCTTGAAGAACTTGGGAGTGTTTCAGAGGTGATGAAATTAGAAAGTAGGCAGAAGGCTTTCATTAATAATAAAAAGGAGATATTTCCATTTTCACTCACCAAAGTGAAGCTATCTGATGATACTCACATAAAAGAATTAATGTTGTCCTCTTTATTCTTGAGTACTATGCATTCCCAAACAAAAACCTTCCAAAAACCTGTTAATTATATATTTTTTTAAAATCTTTACTTTAATATAAATAGTACTAGAAATAGGATCGTCTAGTAAGGAAGTGAATTGTTTTAATTTTGCAGAAAGAGGTGGCTTTCTTCAGACTGCACAGTTTTAGTAAAACAGATTCTCTCAGCCGTATCACAAGCATGCATTCTCTCTGCCATGACTCCTCGGCTCAGCCTCATGCCTGGGCGGCCACCTGCTCCACAGAGATGTGCCTAGCTCATGAGGGAAACAGCAACAGGAAATCACTTAATAATGCTATTATTTACTTCAACTACATGTAGTTTAAAATCAACGGATTTCCGCTTCTAGTAAAGACCTAGATATTCCAAAAGACCACGAAGCTGTAAAAGATATCCATTTATTATACCTCCAGGATGTGAACGAAACTTAAAATACTAGCTATATATCCATTAATGCTACTGAATGTATTCAACTAAAAAGGTTCAGTGAGGAAAAAAATGGTCATGTTTAGAATGCTTTGTGTGGATATTTGATGTAATATTCATGTATGTATGTATATTCACATATGTATGTGTGCATTTCTATATGTTATACAAACATCCATATAATACTTGACTATATATCACATGTTTATATATATTTATATGATGCACATACATATATTTTGAAAGGATATTACATAGTAGACTAGAAATCCTATGAATAAATCTTGACTACCTAGCCATCCGCTGAATAAGGAGGACAACAGATATGCTAAAGTGGACAGAGGAAAGCCCGTGAGGCCTTAACCCTCCACAAAAACCTACAGGCAACTAAGGAATACTGAAAGAGGGAGAAATAATCTTCCCCAGGGACAGCTAGCATATTAGATAGTTAGCCAATACCAAGTGGTCATCATGGAAAACATACTAGTAGCATTATTTAGAATGAGCAGGTTGTATCTGTATATTTAAGAATATATATGTACATAAATCTATGTATGTATAACAATTAATGAAAAAAAGGCCATACATTTGAAAGAGAATAAAGAGGGATATGTGGGAGGGTTTGGGAGGCAGGGAAGGGAAGGGGATAATATAATTATATTATAAACTAAAAAAAATAATTTAAAAAATGAATCAAGTAACTATACCTAATCTGCCCGCACTCGGGTGCATTTGATGAACCTGACTTCTGAAGTGTGGAGTTTCTCTTAGAAGACACAATGACACATGCACACATCTTAATTATGAGACCATCTCCTGGTTCTTCACCATGGTCTGTATGTTCCTGGGCATAGAGAGGTGTTTGTTCTATGGCACCTGTCATGGAGTCTTTACAGTGTAAGTCACAAACACAAACATGGGGGTTT